AATTCCCCCCCCCCCCCCGCTCTCCTTTTATTGGCGATGGCTGCATGGACTCGTTCACACTGAGGGGTGTAGGACTGAGATTTATGGCTCCTTGAGGCTTCCTTCCTCAAGATGGTGGATCCAGCATAGATAGACTGATTTTGTTCCCATCAAGGAAAGTGAGGAGAGTGGAGGAGCATTTGCCAAGGTTTTGCAGAACACTGCTGGGGAGCTCTCTCACCATTCTGCCCTGTTGTCTCCCTCTTCACCTCTTCCCAGGAAAAGAATGATGACAGCAGACGTGTTTCCCCCCCCCCCCCCCGGGTAAAGTATTAGGTGCTAACGGTCTCCTTAATCTAGCAGAGGGGGTAGGGCAAGAACTGGCAGCAGGAAGCTGAGAGTGCATTCAGATCAGACTCAGATTATCCTTGTGTGACGTTGTCCCCCTCCCAGCTATTATGCATTGGGATAGAGGGCAATGAGATAGGAAGACAAGAATTAGGTGTCCCATCCCCTACAACCTTGCCAGATCAAGAGCGGATTCTGTGCCAAGGCTAAGCTGAATTGAGCATTTGGTACATCATCTGAGATTCTGCTCAACTCCCCAGGAGGGTTCTTGGAGGTAGACTTTTGTGTCCCAGGCTTGAACCATTTTCTGTTTCTCATAGGTTTTGATCATGGATGCTTGAGATGTATAGTTTGTCCTAGGAAGTCTCTTTCTGTACCACCATTCGGGACTTGCTGTACCTCCCTCACTGCCATTTTTGGTCTTCCTCCAGGTGGAGGAAGGTTCCGGTAAAAAACAAAACAGTCTTGCAGTCCTAGCTTTACCCATCCTTACTTGTGAGCTTATGGTTTCAACCTGTGGTTGAAAACGTAGCTTCCCCCCTCAGAATCCACTTCATGGGTCACCCCAGCAGTCTTTCCACTTGGAAGGATTCGCCTCTCCATGTGTGGCCAGCAAAAGCGGCTGTTGATGTGGTGGCAGTACGCCTGCAAATCAAATAGTTCTGCTGTTGGGCAAAGGAATACCATTCATCCATCATGGGCTGTCAGCCAGCTGTTGTGTTGGCAAAAAAAAGGGGGGGGGGAGATGACAGATTCCATGAAACAAACTGAGCTGGGATGCAAGTGAATAAGACAGAGGGAGTTGGAAGAACAGAAGAGGAGGCCCCCCGACATGCAGAAAGCCAGTGGACTATATTGATTGCAGCATATCTAAGCTGCTAGGCCTAGCCAGCCTGCTGATTCATTTAGCTTGGACTCCAGTATTCTGACAGAATTGGGTGCTTCTGAGAAACGATTATGAGTAACAGAAGCCATTTACCACTAGTTGCTTGTTCCCAATGTCAGACACGTTGGTGTCCACTGGCCATCTTGGCTGATGGCCATTCACATATTACCATATTCTGTTATTCTTTTGAGTTTAGCTGCTGTAGTTAGTGGCTCTGAGTGCCATGAAAATTACTCAGCAGCCTTAAGCATATTGGT